TCCAATAGCTCCATCATCTCAGATAAGTGATACCTCTTACCTCCATCACTCCCAATATCCCTCCAACAGCTCCATTGCTCCTTATCTCCGTCACCTCCAGTATCACCCCCCTGGTTCCATCACCCCCACTATCATCTCCAACACCTTCACCACCCCAAATCAGTGATACCCCGTATTTCCATCACACCAATCTCCCTCCCAACCACTCCATCACCCTCCAACTGCTCCATCACCCCCACTATCCCCCTCCCACAGCTCCAGCACCTCAGACAGGTGACACCCTGTATCTCCATCACCCCCAGCATCCACCTCCATGGCTCCATCATCCTCAATCACCTCCTAAGAGCTCCATCACCCTTGATCAGTGATCCCCCACATCTCCATTCCCCCAACCTCCCTCCAACAGCTGCATCACCCCCAGTATCCCCCCAACAGCTGCATTATCCAAGATTAGTGATCCCCCAAATCTCCATTCCCCCAACCTCCCTCCCAAGAGCTCCATCTCCCCCCCTTGCTCCATTAGTCCCAGTATCCCCCCTCCAAGAGCTCCATCACCCTCCATATACCTCCCCATGGCTCCACAACCCCCAGTATCTCCCCCAACAGCTCCATTCCCCCAATCAACCCCCAAGGCTCCCCCCCATCACACCTTGAGGTGCTTCTGGAGCTGGACCTGGTGCTGGCGCGTGAGGTGCTCGTGCTGCTTCTGGAACTCGGCGAAGAGCAGCTGCTTCTGGAGCTGCTGCTGCTGCTTCAGGGCCACCAGCTCCCGCTGCAGCTGCCGCTCCCGTGCTGCCGCCAGTCCCGCGTCCAACCCTGCAGCCTCTGGCCCCGCTGCCTCCAGCCCCGGCCCCTCCAGCCCCGGCCCCTCTGGCCCTGCGGGCCCACACCGGGTTACCGGGGGGGGGGGGGGGGGGGGGGGATGGGGGTGGCTTGAGGAAGGGGTTCCAGGGGTATGGTGGGGGTAGGGACTTGTTTAAGGGGCGGTATTAGGGTGTCCCAGGGATGTGGGGGAGACACAAGAGTGGTTTGGGGGTGTCCCAGGAATGATAGGTGGGCTGGGACTTTGTTAAAGGGCAGTTTTGGGGTGTCCCAGGGATGGGGGAGGGGAATTAGGGGCAGTTTGGGAGCATCAGTGTGAGTGGAAAAAGCTGGGGGCATTTTGGGGATGTCCTAAGGATGGGGGGGAGCTGGGATCAGTTTTGGAGTGCGCCAGGGATGGAGAGAGGAAATGGGAGTGGCTTTGGGGTGTCCCGGGTATGATGGGAGGGGGGCGTTGGGGGTGTACCGGGAATGATGGGAGTGATAAGACTTGTTTAAGGGGCAGTTTTGGGGTGCCCCAGTGGTGGAGAGGGAACTGAGAGTGGTTTGGAAGTGTCCCAGTGATGATGGGGGGCAGCTGGAACTTCAAGGGATAATATAGGGGTGTTCCAGGGATGGGGGTGTCAACTCAGTGCAGTTTTGGAGTGTCCCAGTGGTGGAGAGGGTAGCTGGGAGCAGTTTGGGGGTGTCCTGGGGATGAGGGGAGGTGTTAGGGGCAGTTTGGGGGTGTACCAAGGATGGGGGAAGAGGCTGGGCATTCCCAGAGATGGGGGGACGGGAGGGGACAGCTCAGGGGCACCTGGGGGGTTGCCGCGGGGGGTCAGTGATCAGCCCCTCCTATGAAGTTCCTGGGGGTCTCCCCCCAGCTTCCAACCCACTGGATAAGCCCGGGATTCCCCCCTTCTCAACCCAGAAAAAACCACATGGAGGTCCCCCCAGTCCAAGCTCCTGCATTTGCAACACAGAACAACCAACCCAAAGGGCAACCGAGGGGCATCCCCCCCTCACCTCCATCAGCAGAGGACATGGGGAGGGGACACAGCGTCCGGGCCACCCCCACCTCGAGCCCTCCCCCTCCCCACGCAAACAGGAAGGCGGGGGCGGGGGGCACGCGCTGAATGTTAATGCAGCCCCTCCCTCCCCTCCCCGCAGCCCCCTCAACCTGGCGCGGCCGCACGTCGGGCACTGACGTGCGCCTGGACGGACCCATGGACGTCACCGTGCGCGGGGGTGGGGCACCCCCAGACCCCCCCCCCCGCTCTGACAGACCCCTCCGGGGCATGCCAGCCTCCCCCGAGGACAGCCAGCCCCCCAAAACCTGCCAGTGCACAGTACCCTGCTGCACCCCCCCATTGCCAACCAGGTCCCCTGATAGACAGTATCCCTCCCAAGCTAACCAGCCCCCCAGCTAGGCAGTACCCCCCCTTCCCCAAGCTAACCAGCCCCCCAAGCCAGGTAGCTTGTCCCCTTCAAACTAACCAGCCCCGCCAGTGCCAACCATTCCCCCCACAAACCAACCAGCCCCACCTCCCCAGTGCCAATCACCCCTTACCAGTACGAGCCAGCCTCCCAAACCAGGCAGCACGCCCCCCCAAACTAACTAGCCCCCCATGTACCAGACAATCCCCCCAGTGCCAACCAAACCCCCGCTGGTATGAGGCAACCCCTAAGACAGGCAGCACCCCCCCAAAATGACCAGTCCCTTCAGTGCCAACCAGCCCCCCAACACACGAAGCAGCACCCCCAGTTTCAACTGGCCCTCCCTCCCCAGCACTAACCAGTCTCCCCCAGTATGAGTCAGCCTCCCAAGCCAAGCAGCATCCCCCAAGATAACCAGTCCCTCCCAGTGCCAACCAGTCCCCCACTTTACCAACCAGCCCCCCCGAGCCCCCATCTCAACCAGTCCCCCCAGTATGAGCCAGACCCCCAAGTCAGGCAGTATTCCCCCAAGCTAACCAGTAACCCCAGTGCCAACCAGCCCCCCCCAGTATCAACCAGCCTCAGCTCCTCACTAACCAACCAGTCCCCCCAGTACGAGCCAGTCTCCCAAGCCAGGCAGCAACCCCCCAACCTAACCAGCACCCCCAGACACCAACCAGCCGCCCCCAGTCAGTGCCAGCCCCCCCTTGACATGCAAGAGGGGAACCCCCAGCCCCCCCTCCCCACCCCAAGTCACATCTCGGGGGGAAGATATTTTTGGGGATGTATTGGGGTACTCCTGCAGCCCCCCAGACCTGACACATCCCAGTTTGGGGGGTAATCAAAGGCCCCCGCTGGGTGTTGGGGTGCAATAGGGGGGGTGGGGGTCAGCACCCAGCCCTTTCAGGGGAGAGGGGGTAGCACCCGAGGGGGCTAAAAATAGCCCCCAGAGGAGCCAACCTGACACTCTGGGGTCAGTGGTGGCTCTGGGCTGGCACCGGGCTGGGGTCACCACCCCACCCTGTGAGGGGACCCTCACCCTGTGCCCCCCCCCACCCCCACGGACAGGGGCTGCTTGCACAGCTGTACACACGTGTAGCTATCCCCCGACACACCTGTGCACACCTTTACACACTCATGCAAAAAGAGCAGCTCTCCTCCTTGCACACCTACACAAGGGGAGCAGCTGTCCTCCCCCTTGCACATCTGAACACTCTCATGCAAAGGAAAGCAGCTCTACCCCTTGCACAGCTGAACGCTCAGGTGCAGTTCTCCCCTGACACACTCATGTCAAAAGAGAAGCTCTCCCCTTGCACAGCTGTGCACACTCATGCAAGGAAAGCATGGGGGGCATGACCGGTTTTTGCAGGGGGATGTCACCGGACTTTGACAGGGGATGTCACAGGGTTTTGGGGGGAGTGTCACAGGGTTTTGAGGGGGGGTGTCACAGGGTTTTGGGGGCACAGGGAACCAGGCTCTCCCACTCACCTGGGGTGTGCAGCAGGGTGCAGGGCAGGAGCTCCAGGGGGGGCTCACGGCCAGACACCCCCTCTGCGGAGAGAGACCTGTGTCCCCCCCCGAATGGGACCACAGAGGGGCTGGGGGGCACACGCACCCCCAAACCTACCCCTCCATCACCCTCTCAGCGGGGGGGGACAGACAGATAGGGGTCACAGAGTATCCCTTGGAGTTTGGGGTGATTGGAGAGGATGTGGCCCCCCCCTCTCATTCTAGGCAGGGTAGGGCTGAGGGGCCCCCCCTTGTCCACAGCCCCCTCCATGCCCCCCTCCATCCAGGCTATTCTCTCCGACTCCTGGAAATAGCCGGCGCACAGGAGGAGCTGGCTATAAATAGGGAATTGTGCTGGGGGGGGTGTGTCACAGCGGATCCTGTGGGATGGGGTGTGCTGTGCCCCCCCCAACACCCAGCTGCATCCCCAAACTGCCCCGGGGACAGGGCACAGTGGCTGTCCTACACGGGGGGGCTGTGGGGGGCCTGGGATCCCACCACACTCCTCCCATCCTCATCCCACCCCCCTTTCTACATCCCCCTAATTGCTGGGGACATTAATCCGCATCAGCACTGCCAGGAATAAAATCTGGGATGTGCAGAGAACGATTAGCCCCGCTTTGAGAAAATGAAAGCAAACGACCCCCCCACCCTTCCCAGGACCCTGTGACTCCCCCCAACAAGACCCCCCCCAGGGAGACAGGGGTGCAGGGGGGTGCAGATGTCGACTCAGCACATTTCCCATGGGATTAGTGCCCCAAAGCAGTTCCACGGGGACAAATCAGAGCAGGGGATGACAACGGGCTGAGGTGTGGAGACCCCCCTTTTGGGAACGGTGACCCCCCCCCCCCCCCCCCCCCCCCCCCGCGCGTAACCCCCCCGGCAGCCGCCACGTTTATTTACCAGCATGTTAATCCCAAGCCAAGACTTTTAATAGCTGGGATATTTCTGGGACACCCCCCGCCCCCCCCATCGTCCCCCCCCACAGGGTGCTTTGGGGCTTGACGTCAGCCCGGATATTTCTGGTGTTGCCAGCGGGCAGGAGGCCGCGGGAATGGGCCCTCCTGGCTCCTGGACCCCCTTCCTGGCTCCTGGACTCCTTCTCTGGTGGCCAGACCCCCATTACAGCTCCTAGACCCCCTTCCTGGCTCCCCATGGAGCCCCATCCAGAGGTGGTGGCATATCTGGGGGATGGGGGGACCCTCAAGGAGATGGAGAGTAATAGTGGGGACCCCCAGGCATGACGGGAGACATGGAGGGGAGGCGGGGGGGCTGCACCCAGGGATGGTACCGGCACCCACAGGACGCCCCCCCATCCCCAGTTTTGGGATGAGCATGGGAAAAGGGTGCAATTGGAGAGCCCTGGGGGGCACAGAGCCCCCCAACGGGTGACTGGGGACCCCCAAGCTCAGGGGTGGGCTCTGCCACGTCTCTGTGATTGACCTAGCCCAGCTGAGACTTGCCCAACTCATCACAGCAGCTGGAGAGTCACAGCATCTCTGGGGGGGCCCCAAACCCCCCTTCCAGAGGCAAATCCAAAGCCACAGCCAGGAGGGGACCCCAAGCAAAGCGCCTCGGGTATGGCAGAGGCAGGCAGGCCGTGTCCCCACGCCGCCGTGTCCCCGTGCCAGCCTCGTGCCAGGCACGGTCGGGCGACGCTCCAGCCCTGCGGCTGCTCCAAAAATACCAGCTGGTGGCAACCAGGGCGGTTTGGGGGCAGAGAGGATACACGTATCCCCATCCCCAACCGGTGGCGAGTCCATCCAGGGGACACGGGGGCTCCGCCATGGCCCTTGTGCTTCAGTTTCCCCTTCAGAGCCCACGAGGGTTGGCGGTGCCGCGTGTCCCCATCCGGGAAGGGGGAGAGGACACCGCCACCCCCCCTTCCCCCCCCCCCGTCCAGATGTCGCCGGAGTTCCCACCGGGATAATTACAGGGCGGCTCTGCCGGGGAGCCAGCAGGAGCCGGGACAGCATGGGCACAGCCCTCATGGTCACCACAGCTGTCCCCAGGCGTGGCACCGCAGGGACTCCGTGCAAAGAGCCACACGTAGGCCGTGCCACGGTGGTGACAGGAGCCGTGCCTCAGCTTCCCCTCGGGGTGGGAAATGCCAGGGGTCTGGGAAAACCAGAAAGGGGGATACCTGGCATGGCCCGGGATACCCGGGAGAGGGGGGTGGTTGGCAGAACCCCCATCGCCCCCCTTGCCCCAGTGTCTGGTACGGTAACACCCCCACGGCAGCGGGCACAGACGTGCCGTGGTGGGTGGGACACTGCCACAGCACCCTGTGGGACCCCAACACCCCGTGGGTGTCATGGCGAGGGGCTTTGGGGCCACAGTGCACACACGACAATGTGCAGGGGGGACGCGGCTGTGACCGGCGCCTGGCAGAGGGGAACACCCCCATCCCGGGGTCCCCAGCGCTCACCTGTGTCGCTCTGGGGGTCCATGGTGGGCAGCGGGTGCCAGGGGGGTGCGGAGAGGCACGTGTCCGGCGAGCCCGTCAGTGCCGCCCGGGGCACCGCGGCTGTGCCTGCGCCACCTGGGAGCCCTGCGGGACCAAGTGCCCTGTCAGCACCCCGGAACCCCCAAAATCCCCCCCAGGACCAAGTGAGAGGGGGGCTGGAGACAGCACTGAGCCCCCCTCCAGCCCCTGAACACCCGCCAGTGGCAGGATGTGGCCCCGCTCTGCTCTGCTGCCCCCAGGGGTGGGGGGACCTGTGGGCACCCCCAGAAGGGATCTGGGGGGGCAGAGGGGACTTGGGGGGGCAGAGGGGGCTTTGGGGGAGTTGGCAGCATTACACAAAGTTCTGCAGGAAAAGAAGGGGGAGCACAAAGGGGGAGCCCAGAGGGATGGCAGAGAAGTACCCTCCCCGGTACCACCCCAAAAGGACTCGGGTGGGACCCCCATAAGGACATGGATGGAGGGGACACACACACTCACTTGTGGCTGCCCCCCACACCACGAGGCCCCCGGTGCTGCCGCCCCCCCAAAACCGAGGCATTGCCCCGAGATGGGAGTCGGAGGGTGCCACGCATAGGGGCCACGCGGCGGGACGGACCCCACGGAGGGGAGGGAGGGACAGGACACGCAGGCTGCCGGCAGCCCCGAGCCCGGCGCGGTGCAGCGGGGCCCCCCCGGCCCCCCCGCTGCAAACGGGCCGCGCTGCGGAGCTGCCGCCGCGCTGGCGCACGGGCCCCCCGACATCGCAGGATCCCCCCATTACACAGATCACCTCACTCCATTGCACAGAGCAAAGCCCATCGCACCCGGACTCCCCAACCCACACCGACCTCTTCCCAAACCGCACCGGGGCTCCTCATTACAGGGCCCTGCCGAACCGCATCAGGACCCCCCAACAGCACCGGGACCCCCAACATTGCAGAGCCCTCCCGAACTGCACAGAGACCCCTCTAGACTGCAGGGCCCCACCGCTGCGTGGGCCCCCCCTCCTCCGAACCATGCCGGGACCCCGTAACGCACAGGACCCCCCCTGACTTGCACTGGGGTCCCCCATTGCAGACTCCGCACCAAACCGCAGCGGGATCCCATTGCAGCTCCCCGTCCACCCGCACCAAGAACCCCATTGCCGCCCCCCGGCCCCCCCCCTCCCCCCCCCCCCCCCATCCCGCACGGCGCAAAGCCTCATCACATCGAGCCCCCCCAACCACACAGCAGCCCCCATTACAACTCCCCCTCCCCACTGCACACACACACACACCGCCCTAAACCGCACCGGACCCCCGATGCGCCTCCCCATTGCAGCCTCCCCACCAATGCACGGGGTGCCCCCCCCCGGACGCGCACAGGAGGGACCCCGGTACCGCACCCCCTCGCGCTCCGCCGCAGCCCCCCCCAGGCGCGGTGCCCCCCTTCCCGGGCCCCCCTCGTACCTGGGGTCCCCCCGGTGCCGCCCGGCGCGCGCCCCGCCGCGCCCCCCCCTCCTCCTCCATCTTCGCCGCGCGGCCCCGCCCGCCCCGACAACAACATTCGGTGACGTCACTCGCGGGTCACGTGACGGTGCCCGTGCGCTAAAAATAGACCCCCGCGCGAAGGGGGGGGGGAACCCTCCCCTTAGGGACGCGGGGCTCAAAGTGGGGA